ACATTGCTCGCTCTCTCGCTCTCGCTCTCTCTCTCTCTCTCTCTCTCTCTCTCTCTCTCTCTCTCTCTCTCTCTCTCTTTCTCTCTTTCTCTCTCTCTTTCTCTCTCTCTCTCTCTCTTTCTCTCTCTCTCTCTCCCTCTCTCCCTCTCTCCCTCTCTCCCTCTCTCCCTCTCTCCCTCTCTCCCTCTCCTCTCTCTCCTCTCTCTCCTCTCTCTCTCCCACTGGTATACTATCTTTACCTCGGTATATAAGACAAGATAGAACTGAAACGCGGGAGCGCCGAGTGGAACTTTTTCCTTTATTTGTGTTACCGTTCGTGTGTGCAGATTATTTCTTGCAGTGACATTTTTTTATCCTCTACAAGAATATCATCTTTAATCTAGTGATAGCGATAGTGATAATGATTAGATAATGATGCATAAACGATAAATCTCGCTTGTGCATTGTGGATTTTTCTGTCAATAATACTGATGGGTAAATGTTTAAAACAACTCAAGCCACCAACCTTCAAGCATAACAGGCATTTCAAAAGTAAAAGAAGGTCGAAAAAACGCGAGGCCAGAATCGTATTTTGGACAAGAAATTGGAAAATACAAGAAAAAAAATTAAGATTCGATCACTGAAGATTAGCCCGAACGAACGAATGAACCGTATTCTAAACGCACGAAATTACCACACAGACCGCCCTATGAAACAAAAACCTTTCTTTTGCTCCCTCAAAATCTCTGTATAAACCTAGCCCCTTCCTCATTACTGCATTTCCCCCATGACTGCTTCAACCAATACAATATTCAGTACATTTAATGATTCAGATTGTACTTACCTTAGGATTTAGGCAAAAACATAGACGAGCTTCTAAAGCTGCAACACGGTTTTTGTATTGGATTTCATGTTATTCCCCAATAATGCTTGTAAGAGATCGTTTTAGGAAAGAACAGAACTGTCATAATTGCCAGCAGATAGAACATGTGCAACTTATAGATGTAACAAGTATTTCCAATGTTTAAAAAATCTGTACATAACATGTAAAAGTATGACGTAACTAAAGAATTATATTACATATATACGTATTTCGATACAACTTAATATATAATATGAGATACAGAAATGCAACAACAATACATCTATACGAGTGACAGTGATTGTCCGTACCGCAAGATCGGCGGGCGTTGGGCATTCTCCGCGATACAGTTGTATCGGTTTGTTTCTGCAGATCAATTTAATCTAAAATGAAAATAGTGTTTTCGCTACATTACTATAATCTTGGGTTTTCTTAGTCGGCGCGGTCCTACTGTGTTCTTTTACCCTACTACTGATATCATAAAGAATATTAGTTACAATTTCTGAATTTCTAACCTAGAGGAAAATGATGTGTTGTCAACAGTAAAATCAAATATAAAAGTGGAGAGTAGAAATAATATAATTATGAAATAACAGGAAAGTTCAAAAGGTCGTAATGAGACTTAAGGGAATGTGTTTTTGATACTGTATGTACGTGCATTAGACATACATAATCATGTAAGAGTTGTAAGTTTTCAAATGTCATATGAGTTCTCGATGACACGTTTTATTCGGATCCAACACCTTGGTGATAAAATGAAATAGATAAATAAAAAATAAATAAATAAATAAATGAATAAAAAGAAATAGAAATAACAAATAAAACAAAATAAGAATAAAAGATAAGAGAGAGAAAAAGAGCAGAACGGCCAAACATTGAACGATCCAATATGAGCAGCATGTAAACCGGAATGTCCTAGCTTAACCAAGTCCCTTCGGCTGTAATTGATTCTTTGCTTCGAGAATCACAGCCTCACGTGTTTTTACATATATTTATTTTAGGATGATACTGTATATTTGAAAATCAGGATATATGTCCCTCCTAAAAAATTGATAATTACACAGTATATCCATGTATATTAAAGAAAGCAATTTTCTATTCCTGAAGTTAACTCCAGAACTCTTGGTAAATGTTTCGAAGCTTAAGCAAGATGGCCAAAACTAGTCGCTGAATTATTCACAATGAACTTATCGATATTTTGCAGCACTGTTTACATTATACTTTTGAACTGATCCGCTCATGATTCATATTATATTCTGCCTTACCTGTGTTTTGTTAACTCCTTGTTATTACTCAGTGAACCTTCTGAGCAAAGCAGATATTTTCTTTGTTGTCGACCTCAGTCATTTAATAAATAAATAAAATAATTAATAAATATATAAACAAATACAAAAAAACCTACTAACACGTTATGTGTCCACGATTACTTCTTATTCTGTTACTACGATGTCAGAGAAGTGGACATATTTGTAGCTCAATCTGTCACAGAATTAAGACATTTTTATGTAAGGTGTATATCGCCAACGAACACCAAATTATTTCCTCGCAATAGCAATCTCCTTTGAACTGCGCTGGTTAAAGGCGGCCTCGGTAGTGTTCGGTGTCAGGATTGATGATTTCTGCCTGACATCTTACAGCAGCAGTGTGCCATTCACATGAGCCAGAATATTATTCGCAAGCAAAGATCCAGATGATTTAATACAAAACCATCGGTGTGAAACTGGTAAGAAGATAGAGTATTTTAATGTATATATATATATATATATATATATATATATATATATATATATATACATATATAATTCTTTGACACTTAAAAACGTACACCGGTAATAAGACATTCTCTCTCTCTTCCTTTCTTTTTCTCTCTCCCTTTCTCTTTCTCTTCCTCTCTCTCTTTCTCACTCTTTCTTATGATTTCCATCTCCCTCCTCTCTCTCAAATATAGTACCAACGAAGGAAACGATTTCATCTGATGTTTATGTTCTTCACAATGCCTGATATTCCTTTTCTTTTGGCTGTTGCTATTGGTCACCACGAACTCAACATAACGCGGGCTGACTTTTGTAGAATCACCAATACTTAATTTAGGCACTAGCTCTCCCAAAAAGGTTTGTTTTTTTATATAAGAAGAAGACAACATTTTTACTTGCAATGGTGACCATAACGAAACAAAACTACTAATATATCTCTATACTTATACAATTAAAAGTTTTGTTAACACATATATTTATGTATACACCCATTACTGTTTGAATTCAGTAATATCACATTTGATTTATTTTAACCCATAACAGTGCTGTCCATTTTACGAGAGTCAGCAGATTAAAACATAATAATGCTAATAAAGGAACACAATTAGATTATAGCGTTATGATTAAATAGTAAGTCCATAAATATATATATATATATATATATATATATATATATATATACATATATATATATATATATATATATATATATATATATATATATATATATATATGTATATATATATATATATATATATATATATATATATATATATATATATATATATATATATAAGGTAAATCATACTGACACTCTCTGCTAATCAATAAATACTAGGCAGCATGCAATTGTTCCACTCTTCCTCTCAATAATTAATATTCTTATTATCTCGTTTTCTTCTTTGTCTCTATGATGTGGGAGAAAAACAAAAACAAAATAATGGTAAAAGTCGTAGTAACAGGTATGATGATTATATATTGATTTCTTCTTATATTATCATAATTCATGTGCATTTCATATTATTATTTTTGGTTCTATAATTAATATTATCATTGTTATTATTATTACCATAATTCTATTCTATAAAACGTTTGTCGGAAAATACCATGAATTATTCAAGAATTGGTAAACTACAACTGAAGCCCATTTCTTTTTACGTTTTGCTTTAATAATTCTTGAAGGCAAATAACAATCTGATACAACAATTTTGCCAAGAATCCCCGAGGCCAGCATTTAATGCTTGCGTCGGGGACTTTGTTAGGAATATCGTAACATTAAATTCCGTTTAGAAGCATACTGTTGCCAGGTCTTACGTAGCGTTTTCTACCATCACGAGTCGTAGTCACTAGTATGTAGCGGAAACTAAAATATTCACGAGGTTCTTCGCGGAATGAATGAAACGCGCCCACACCCAATGAAAAAATAATCATTACGATTTATTCATGCGCACAATACTAACTCATCGACTGTGCAGTAACCACCCAAAACCATGTCGAGTCCTTTTGATTCCTTTAGTGCTTTTGTCCGAGTTTTTTCTTTCTTTCTTTATTAGGAAAAATAGGCAGAACTATGGGAGGTAAGGAGGGAAAGTTAAATAGCGAGCTTCCCGAACTTCTTCCTTTTTAAAAACTAATTCTAAAACACAAATCGTCACTGTCACTACAAACTGATAACATAATTAAGGCTTAGGTTATCTGTATTCATCATTCCTTGTTAAATGTTTTACATATATTTTATCCATCATATTCCTTAGCGACCCCTCCCCATAGAAAATTTTCTTGTTCCGTCAGTGAATCGCACTTACCTAGTATAACTTGTCTTGACTGTCTAGAATATGCTAGAGTACCATAAAGAAGTCAGGACAGTGGAATATAAAAGAGAGCAAAATCTTAGACGCCTATTACATGCCTCATGCATTTTGCACTGTGTAATAAGGCAGTGTCCACTATGTCTGGATTTATTTATGAATTTATCTAGCAAAAAAGTATATCGCATTATTTTTGTACACTTTAGACATGCCAAGTCAAAATCGAAGAATTTCTCTCTCTCTCTCTCTCTCTCTCTCTCTCTCTCTCTCTCTCTCTCTCTCTCTCTCTCTCTCTCTCTCTCTCTCTCTCTCTCTCTCTCTCTCTCTCTCTCTCTCTCTCTCTCTCTCTTCTCTTTTCTTCTCTGCTCTCTCTCTCTCTCCCTCCCTACCTCCCTCCCTCCCTCTCTCCTCTCTCTTCTCTGCTCTCTCTCTCTCTCTCTCTCTCTATCTATCTATCTATCTATCTATCTCTCTTCTCTTCTCTTTTCTTCTCTCTCCCTCCCTCTCTCTCTCCCTCCCTCCCTCCCTCCCTCCCTCCCTCCCTCTCTCCTCTCTCTCTTCTCTTCTCTTCTCTTCTCTGCTCTCTCTACTCTCTCTCTCTCTCTCTCTCATTCTCTCTCTCTCTCTCTCTCTCTCTCTCTCTCTCTCTCTCTCTCTCTCTCTCTCTCTCTCTCTCTCTCTCTCTCTCTCTCTTTCTCTCTCTTTTCTTTTCTTTTCTTCTCTTCTCTTCTCTTCTCTTCTCTCTCTCTCTTTCTCTCTTTCGTACGCATTTCGACATACGCAACAACGCTCTGATTGTGTAACGAACTTGTTTAACTGGCCTGCAACTCCATCGATACGTTCAACACGTAATGTAGACCAGGAATGAAGGTTCTAGTATTGGAAACGTAGCGAGAGAGGTTGAATGACACCACACAACTCCTAGTATGGAATAAAAGTTGAATAACACTTCACACAGCACCCAGAAAAGCATATACTCGTCCTGTGCGTATAGACGTCATGGAGAATATGTAATCTATCCTTTTGTATACTTATCGGTTCCATTATGCAGTAGTCCTACATTTTAATATTACTAAATTCTCTAGTAGTACGAAACCCTATGTTTTCCATATTCATTGCCCTAAATTCCTAGGCCTAATACTGTTAAAGAGGTGTAGCAGTGTTATGAAACAGACGACCGTGGTTTCATAATACCAGAATAGGTGGCTGAATACCCAATGTGAATCCACGGCGTAAGTTGTGGATGTTTGCGACTGAGAAACGCTATTGATTGAGGTGAATAATGGATCAGATTATTTTACTTATTTAGTGTGAATTCCTTCTCCCGGCTTCTGCATAACACAGCCATTTTCTACCTTCAACTGTGGACCGTGGCAGATGGCAGAGAACTGTTACCTTTGTTTTCGATTTTGTGTGAAATTCCTACGCTATACCTCAAGCTGGGGGCTGTGGCAAATGGCAGAGAGAAACGGCTTATGATTTACTGTAAAAAAACGTTTTGTTTCGCCTCATGATAACGTGAAAGTTACTTGTTATTAACCGCTGCGTTTAGTATTGGACGAGAGATGCCGTCGTAATGATAAATGCAGTATAAAATTGCCTACATGTTAGGAGTATGAACTGGCTTCATTTTGGGTTAAATTTTGGCTATCGACACTGAAATTAGGGTTATTATATGTGTACTTACATGATGATGTGTCAACGTAAATGTCGATAATACCATCTTAATACAGTTGTTAGAGGATGAAAAAAGTGTAAAGATCCATTATGTTAAATTGCTGGTTGCTGGGTAACGGAACTAATTCACTGTTAACTTTTGCATTATTTACCGGGGATAAAAGAATGACTAATCTATCATTATCCACTCAATAGCATATTGTCTACCACACACTACCTCACGCAAAGTATAAGTCTGCGATTTTATTCTCTTTTTGTCGAAGAATATTCTAAACTTAATCAACTTACAACAGATATGAAAACCGTTCAAAATTATCTATGTAGCTCACGACAACACCCTTTTGTACGAAAGGATTATGAATGAAAATTAATAACTTAATGTAATCGACATGTTTCGATTAAACTTCATCGGAATTGCGTGTAATTCTGATAAATATTTGATCAAGGCGCGTCAGTGATATCTTCTGTGTTGTGAAGATACTAATCGTTTTCATACAAGATCCTCATTCAAGATTTCCATATCTCATTTATACCACTATCCATATCTATCGCAATATTCAACGCCGTCAGTAGAACAGCGCATATTCTTTTTTTTTATCTACGATTATTAAGTCATAAAACAGATATCGCACTATTGATCTGGTTGTAAACAGACACCGTGGTATTTGGTATAGGCCTCGGTAGTCCTTGTCAAACTTTTTTTTATCGGTCGTAAAACAAGAGTAACGTTGTATTGTACTTCTCTTTTAGTGCGTGGGTACAGTGTCAGTGCAGTGGCATTGTAATCATACAGCTTTTTTATGCGTGTGCGTCGATGTCCGTTTTCGTGTTATTATATATGGTATTGTAGGTATCATTAACTTGAGTATACTAGTCATTATTAATATGTATATACATTATGTAGTAATTGCAGTAAACACATACTATATTACACACACGCGCGCGCACACACACACAACGCACGCACGCACACACACACACATACACACACATACACACACACACACACACACACACACACACACACACACACACACACACATACACACACACACACACACACAAACATGCATACACATGTCATGCACCTTCTTAGCATACTAATACAACGATAATAAGCTCATTTGTTTGGCACTCATGACCATGTCCGTAGCTAGAAATAATCTATGACATGGCCCTGAACGTGACAGCTGATGGCCACGAATAGGTGACAGTGGCCCATGAACCGATATTTTCTTAGATTCATAAAAGGACTTTGATAGATAAACATTAAGGGAATAACATATATTCTCATGATCTAATTATGTCTATGTAAAGCTTAAGTACAATTAAAGTACCTAGAGGGGAAGAAGAAGACGAAGGAGAAGAAGAAGAAAAGAGGAATATAGGGAAGTAGAAGAAAGAGAAGAAAAAAAAGAGA